CAATTTTCGCATCGCCTTCGGTGTACAGTGAAATCCTGGCAGCAAAAGTAGCCTTGTGCGAGTACGGTCGAATGATGTAAGCCGATGCATGTTTTCCCTCCCGTCCCGCCGTGTTCTGCGGCCGCGCCAGCTTTAAATTATGTCTCCAATGATGGAACGTCACCGCGTCGTCTGCCGTCGCGTGCGGAACGGTGGGATTGCACCACGCTCTACCGTCGACATCCGCGGTGCCGTGCACTCGTGTCGTGGCCGGCCCAGCTGAACATGCGGCACCGCACGCGTGGTGCCCAGACGAACGTATGGCACTGCACGAGTGCACTAAAGACGCCATATGTGCCACCAGCTGAAGATGCCACTAATTACCTTTTCTGTGCATAGCCCTCTGTACCCAAGTGGCTTATGCGACTGAGCTGGAGATACTGGCAAAAATTCCTCCATGCCGATGCTAATCAGCCATGCCCACTGATAGAGACAGTCTGTGCAGCCACTGCTCCGCGTCCACCCGCCACGCGAGCATAGTACAAGCAACAAACGGCCCGCACTTCCAACGGAGGTGCCACAGCTGACTTTACATGCTAGTTCTGGCGCTAGAGTGTGGATATTCTTGAGGGTCAGTGACAGGCACTACCTTACTTTGTCAACACCAAAGAAAGAGCTAGCACCAGCCAAAAAAGCTACGCTAAGCCACTAAGAGTCAACCAGCTTCGCTCTTTGGTAAGCTTCATATGGCTAGTGTAAACTTTTTCTTTTTTTTCTTTAGCAAAGATTACTCTTACATTCAGTACCATGGTTAAGATTTTTATTGTCACAAATCAGACGATTCAAAAACGTGTACGATCAAATGATACGCACACCACACGACTGCAGACCACACGTGCATCGGGCAGCTTCATACAGCTGCATTGAAGCCCTGTGTCCGGTCATGACATTGCACCTGCAAGCACAAGATGATTCAAAAGTGAGATCTGAAAGTGTCGTAAATTCCTGCACTAAAAAAGTCAAAAGCCTGCATTAGACACACCTGGAGTCACAAAGCTTGACCGCTTTACAAGTGAAAATTGACATTGCTGGTGGTTAACAAACTGCTGCGCTTGCCAGAAAAAGAGCTTCGACACATCGCAGTGTTTTACAGAGGCTTTTGTATACGACCCAAATGTCACTTAAAGGGACACCAAAGGCAAACATTAAGTTAGCGTAGATTTCAAGAAACTGCTGTGCTTGCCAAAAAGAGAGCTTATACACATCACAGTGTTTTACGAAGGCTTTCATAGCCGACCCAAATGTCACTTGAAGAGACACCAAAGGCAAACATTAAGTTAACATAGATTTTAAGAAACTGCTGTGCTTGCCAAAAAGAGAGCTTAGACACATCACAGTGTTTTACGAAGGCTTTCTTAGACGACTTGAATGTCACTTGAAGGGACACCATAGGCAAACATTAAGTCATATAGATTGAAAGATTAAGCTTGTGCAATAACCAATTTACGAGAGCACAGCATCTGTGAGCGAGAAAATGGCAAAACTAAAAAATTGAAACGACGTCCCCTGTCATGCTCTGTAGGTACCTCATTGATGTCAAATGACACAGTTTGGTTACTCAATTGCTGCTGAGGCTAACAGATGGAAAATGACATACGTGAATTTCGGCAATAAACAAACATGCAGTAAGTCAGAGTTGTTTTGACATAACACCACCGTAGAGCTCTCGAACAGCTACCAATTCACAGAAATCTGCAGCTGAGGCGGTGACTTCAAGCTCTCTTTAGAGTGCACGCAATTCAAATTGAACCGAAATGTGAAGACTTTCAGTGGCCATTTCTGACACAAAAATTTACTTATTGGTGCACAGAAACCTGTCATACAGTCCAATGCAGGTTGAATATCAATGTGATTGATCGTAATATTTTTATTTAGCATCCGCTTATCCAAAGTAGACCTGATCTGAAGAAAAAATTTTAAAATCATTGAGTAGGAGCTTGTGCATCGTGATGGGAACTGTGTGACAGCAGTCTTGTGTACGCATGCACGTATCAACCAATAGTTAAAAACAACTTTAGAGGGAAGAAGCATTTTCTACTCAAAGATGGATGAATATAAGCCTGCACTAATGGGTGCCACTCCATAGTCGATACCAACATTTTCTCATTTTTTTTTTCTTTTGATGCTCAAGATCCCAAACCCAAGATAGAATTGCGAGAGATGCCGTAATGCAGGGCTCTGGAAATTTCGACCACCAGGGGTTCTTTAACGTGCACATAAATCTAAGCACACGAGCCTCGAGCATATTTGACCTCCACCGAAAATGCGACCGCCGCGGCCGGGCCAACGACCTGCGGTCAGCCGCCGAGTGCCTTAGCCGCTAGACCATCGTGGCAGGTGATAACAAGCTAAGAGTAAACAGAAGCTCTGCCACCAGAATCTGTGGAAGACAGTCAAATCAAATGCTTTTCGTTGTAACAGTAAGCTCATTTTGAGTGCACCTTAGTTGTAACTGACAATAGACTGATGCCACAAGCCATACGGCTGGTTTCTTGACCATCCAGCACACAAGCGAACCGAACGAAAGCAATTGGTGGTCTTACTTCAGTCATCTGTGGAGGGCCACCACTTTCTTTTGAACTTGTATTTGACTACGAGTATACATGCCTACAAGTTGCGCAGAGGAATCCCATTAATTGACTTTTGCTTGATACTTGAGACAGCTCTTCGTACAGGCAATTTTAGTGTTAACAATTCTGAGATTGCCAAACAGTGCCGTGGACGGTAGAATAAGTATAATTGCAATCCAATTCTTAATGCTTTATGCAAAGTCACCAACGAGGACAAGAGGAATAGAATGTAATCAAAATATCTGAAGTTTACAGTCCCGAAACCACAATATGAATATGAGAGACGCCTAGTGGTGGCCCCTGAAATTTCGAACACCTGAGGAGTGGAATGTAGTCGAATAAAGTTGTATACTATGCAGCGTGCTAGGAATAGAACAACATTCTCATGGTGTATTCGCTTGGACATTTGCGAGCTCTTTGAAAAGTGGCTGTGCCTTCGGTTGGTAGGATTCGAGCCCTCAGACTACCATCACTTGGTTCTTTCAGAGCGTCAGCCTCTGACTCGAACGTGGCGTGATCTGACCAAGAGGATGGATCAAGTGCCATAAGCCGGCAACTCATGTGGCTGCCAGCAGGTGAACAGCGCCAACAGCGTGAGCGCACATTTTGAAAGGGGACATTTTCGGACACATAACACTACATGCACGTACGTTATTAGTGGCACTTTTGAGCGTGTGTGGCGAGTTCAGATCTATGAAGCTTTAAATGCGCCATGTAAAAATAGAGCCGGCTAGCGAAAATAGAGAAACGTAAATGCTCTAGATTGTTACAGCCACATGATTCGCCTTGAAGACATCAGCTCGGACGATGACAATTGCCAGATTTATGTGCTGAGCTCAGAAGGCTGCCACCTCATCCAGACATGTCGGAGATATCCACTTAACTAATCAGTGCCACTTGTCAATGCGGTGCAAGAATGTTTACCCGGCAGCTTCCTGCGCTTGCTGCATGGTGGCGCTACAGGCGTGCTGCTCTGAGATTATTGACATATGTGGTTGGTGCGCTGCCTCTGGAGCTGTGATTGCGATTTGCCTTGGCATTTGGGCACATCGGCCAGAGGACGGGAGTGGCTAACCGAATATGCCATGAAAAAATATAAATGATTTGTCGACACACGTGTGCACAATTTACATTTAGATACTTTTGTATGGGTCCATTCCACTGTTCTCCTTTCAACATAGCCAAGCAGTCACTGTAGCAGCGCTAGCATGATAAAGTTGATCTAATCTAATTTTCAAAGCTTTTCAGTAGGTCACCAACAAGTATATAAACAAAAAAAACTGTTACACCTTGCAATGTGTAGAGCACAGAACGAAATTCGCGAAGGAAAGATGTAGGCAGACATTTACACACTGGCTGTTTACTTTGATCACCAATGCACCTGAAGCTGCCAAGACATTTCGTCATTTTCTGTTGGTCCAGAGTTCACGCTCCGTGCAACAAGGTGCAGCACAGTACACAATTGCATGATATGGTCACTGGACCGTATCTATTACAAAGTAAAAAAATATTTTCAAACACCACCAGCATATCAAGCGATTCACACACATCTCGTTCAGCCTAACACGGATGTCAGATATCAGGAAGAAAACAGTTCAAAGACAGCGTTCTGCTCATAAACCCAGAAATATGTTTTTCAACGCGTATTTACAGTGAAAGATCTTGCATGCAGAAAGCTGCTCTTTGCGTCTTAAAAGCGATAGACTGAATTCCACAGAATATTTGAATAGTTAGCAAACGCTGCTGTGATGCACTGCATGTTTAAGCCTACGGTTTCTTCACTCTCTTTACTACGCAGACACTCTCACACTGAAAGGTGCGCTAAGTTAAGACACTGAAGAGGGAAAGATAGGTGCTTAATGCAATCGCTTAGCAACGCAAAAGTAGCCCATAGGGTTTATGCCCGCATCATTTTTGAGTACCCACTGCTTTCTCCCTACAACGCTGCCGTAGCTCTGTGCTCGCAAATAACCTTCACAACGAAGAAAGTAACGCACACTGAATGTATTATAAATGGCTCAGAATCGCGGAAGAGTTCTGGGAAGCATAGATATAAGTTCAACACATACAGCTATCCAAGAAAACACAATTCAGTTTTTCGAGCACGTTGCACGAAATTCGGCTTACCACCAGCGCCACTTAGTTGCATCATGCGCCCGGCTAGAGTACTTACCTAAAGCTGCACACGTTTCTGGCAAAATTTCTCAGGTGCTTTCTGTGTAATGAATTCATCACTGTCGGCGGGTTTTCTTTGTCAGCTTTGGCTTGGATCGTTTCGATCTGATACGGCCTTCGACTGAGCCACTGAACGGGCCTATCATCCAGTTTCGAAATGGCTTTGAAACCAGCGGGCACTGCGATGACGGCTGCCCGTGCTCCACGTGTAAGCTGCTGATGTGTACTGATCAGATGTGCGCGCACTTGGTCAGCGTTCGCTGTGTGAGCACGTCAGTGAAGCTGTATCGGGGCTTCGCTACGCTATGCCTCCAGGTCACGGCGTAAGACTATCTTACACCGTGCTCTCGGTTGAGCGCAGCGTTGCTGGCGCGCTGTTGACTCTGTCGTAGTTTCCGACAGTATGTAGTTTCGTCCGTATCGTCGTGACTTGCGATCGCCGCTAAGGATACAGGGTGCGATCGGCAAGATCTCGTCGCGGGCAGGAGCTACACGGCTGAATAGTAATAATAGAACACTTCGCGAGCGTCACCTTAAAAGAAAGAAGAAAGCTGCCGGCAGGCCACTTGGACGGCGTGTCAACTGTTCGATTCGCGCGAAGTTTTTGACGTTTCTTGGCGGAAGCCCGATATCGCGAGATATCGTGTTCTTCGATTGCTCGCCGCAAGCGTTGTTCCACAGTCGCAATGGCTTGCGCTGAGATGGGACCGCTGAAGACGCTGGACGAACTCCTCAATTTCAAGGAACCCTTGATTCTGTGCTCCGTAGAACCACTCAGAGATGTGAAGCGGGGACTGCCGTGCGACCCGAAAATTCTCTTCTGCCACGACATGATGGGCGGCTACCACGAGGACAGGCGAGTGCCGTACTGGACTGAGCTGCGATTCCGTAGTTCAACTGATGTGCTTATAACCTTACGAAAGCTGGTGAATCGCTTCGACGTACACCTGCGCACGCACTATCCAAATCAAATGCAAATATTCGCACAAACCTTAGTTACCAACAAAACTTAAATAGTTGAAGAAAAGGGACCTTGAAATATTGAACTGGATCTCGACAACTAGGAAGCTAGACGAAGTATATCACAGTATAGAAATCAGTGAAAATGAGTGTAATAGCAGAAAAAAGAAAAAAAAATTGCAGGGAGCCGCCTTCAAGGCAAATGGCTTTCAATTTATGTGGCATGGTCATCACGACCATGCATTACTCAAATAATATTGAACAGACGAGCAGTGCATTATTGCCAGTTATGAGGACAAGAAATGCTGCAATCGTTCTATGAAACAGTGTGATACTACTATCTACTGCACCGAAATTGACTGCAGGAAGCACAAACACGGTGAATCTGACGAAATTATAAAATGGTTTTTCATAAGCGAGAAAACAAGTTTTCACGCTACCAAAATGTGGAGCATGACTGAAACTGAATGGAAGTTATCTTTGCAACTTTTCTACTCACAACCACGGACCTTGCAAATAGAAAACTCTATAAACACTTTCAGTTGCCATAGCTCTTTCAATATTAAAAAATATTTCACAGTCTCAAAGAGTGAGCTCTCACATAAAAAATTCCAGATGATATAGCAAGGGACGTTTGAATCTTATGCAACAGCTTCTTATTCTCATGCACAGATTTCTGCATGCATCTTCATATAAAGTTATGATGTTTCTCGATAACCAGTGTTGCCAACAAGCTTGGCTGTCACACAAATAACTATTACAGAGATTGTGATGAAAAAGTTCGTTGGCAGACAGAGTGCAGGAGCCGATGTTTAAATGAGCCGATTTGTCTTCACTTGCAGCCTTTAAAAAAAGTCCATTTATCAAAACGTCAGCACCAGCACACCCTCCGTTCACGACTTTTTCGTCTGTGGCTTTCCCCGCCTCCTGCTTTTTTATAACAGAGGTTACAATATCATGTAATCAAGCCGCACTGTCCACAGGTTTGTCTATGGCTGCAGCAGCCAAAACTGCTACCGGTTCCATCACTGGCAGATGATCGACAGCTTCGTCTATTTCTCCCACTACCTGGTTACGATCCCACCTCCAGGATGGATCTCCGCTGGACATAAGCATGGCGTCAAAGTGTTGGGTGAGGTAGACAGACTTGTTTGTCCTAATAAAAAGATTATTCGGGGCTTTCTTAGTTATTGAATGTACGGCGAGACACATTTTTTTGGCATGTAAAAGCCCAGCATAATATATCATCATTTATTAATTGGTTAGTTTTAATTAAATTGTTCATTATTCATTATGTAGTGAAGAGGAGGTACCTGGAGCACTGTGATGAAGTAAGCAGTTAGAAACTCACTGCTGGATGGCAAAGTTTGAATAACCTTTCTTGTGCGACAAAGAGAAGCTTAGAGTAATGCAGACGAGCTTTTCTACAAACAACGCAATTGTGGCTTACGTAGCACAAAGTGAAGATAAAACAACACGAACTAGTCAGTGCAAAAATATGGGTTACTGTGTGGTAATGCAACTTGTACAGTACTCATGGCTTGAAACATGACAATTTAGGGCTAAGTAGTGCACATATTTGTATACACTGTCTTCAGTTTGGGCCATATTGACCTAATTTCATTTTAAACATGTAGATGAAGACCAGGATTATCTTTATAGATCAGATTCTTTGCTATATGACATGGTTATCTAGTACAATTGCAGATACTACTCATTATACCTAAAAGTTTGGTGTCACATTTAAATTCACAACTACTGTAAATCTTAAAAGCACAAAGCAAAATTAAAAAGAAGCAAGAGACGCGTGACACTCATCTGGTTCACTTATCTTATGATTCTGCAAATTGTTGCTTTGTGCCTGTAAAGATGTACTAATACACCAACTAGACCCATTTCAAGCTCTGCATTCTTTCATTATGCACTGTAAAAATACATTGGTTTGACTTTCCGTAGACGCACTAGCTGCAACATAAAACCATTTTATTTGCCCACAGTTCTCTGTATACTTCCACTGCTTCTGACATTTCTTTGTATCGTTTTCAGGTACCTTTATTGTGGAGGCCGACCCTGGCACTAAGGTTCTCAACGAAATTAGGGAGGGCAAGTTGACGTCTAAGGTTGCCTCTCAGCTCGCCCTCGTTGCCGCCGCTCACAACTTTGACGGGTGGCTCATCAACATTGAGAGCAAGATGGTTAGAGCTGCGTGCACGTTTGCAGTGTCGCACACTTTTACTTTTGTTGTCTTCGTAACGTTGCTAGATCTCACTTTGTTTGTGATGTTGCATGTAGTGAGTGATGGAATATTTTTAAGCGACCTATTCGATATGCTTGCCAAGTTTTCTGCGACTTTGGACGTCACAACAAGAGAACCATTCGCACTGGTGAGTGGTGGTGGCGTGTCATGTGGTGCTGTAAACAATTCGGAAAAGCACGAGGCGAGTGACCTTTTTGGTGTCTTGCAATGACTAAACTAAAGGGTCCCTGAAGCACTTCTTCAAGTGATCATTGAATCACTTCAGTTAAGGAGTTCATTGCCTCGTCAATTTGCTGACACAAAAGCTTTTAGAATCTGTCAGGCACGTGCACCATTACAAGGATTAGTCACACTCTCAAATTGCTTTCTCTCTTCTTTGGTACCAGTGAGCACGCTGAAAGCTACGCAGGAGGGGACGACAAGGGGGCGAGAAGTTAGGTCTCTCAATCAGCGCACCCTATGACTTTGAGAACTTTCTTTTCTTTTTGCTCTTTGAACACGCGGCTCATACTTTCGATGTGATCGTGAGTGCATCACGAAATCCCGTAGGCGCTGTGGAAACTATGCAACTCACCATGCTCACATAAACCAATGGCCGTGGACTTTGTGTTTACTATAATGTGGTAATTTTGGTCTATTATACCAGGTAAAGGTATTCTTGTGCCTCCTTTTCCCTGTTCTTCTTACTCCGCAAGAGTTAATATAAGCTAGAAACAAGTCCTTTCAACCTTTTATTTTTCTTCTCTTTTGTAGCGTTTTGCTTTCATTGATCTGTGTGGTATCTGTTGGAATGCAATTGCACAAAGGTGAAAGTATACTTATGTGTACGTATGTGCTTATCTATTGAAGACATCATTTTGACATGCCAACACCATGACCAGTTGTAGTACATGTTTGTATTAGTTTTATTTTGTATTACTTCTTCTTCTAACTGAATATGTTATCCGGTTCATAAACTGTCCGTTTGATTACAATATTAATGAGAACTGTGTCTAACAAAGGTAACGAGCCCTGAAATATACTTTCTTTCTGTTTGATTACATGTAACACTTTATTGTTATTGTGTTTTTATTCTCCCTTTATGAATATGTCCACTGCAATTGTCACAAATTTATTGTACTGTAACTCTCTTATGCAATGCCTGCTCAGGTTTTTAGGGTACTTTAGGGCAAAGCTAAGCCTCCAACAAGAGGAACGTAGTGGTCCACGACCGCTACGTTCCTCTTGTTGGAGGCTTAGCTTTGCCGCATAAAAAAATGAGCAATTGGTGTTGCGCGGTGGAATCTTGGTCCAAACACAATTTCGATGAGACTATGGGGCTGCGTCTGCAGGATGACAGCAGCGGCCCGTTCCTCAAGGAGTTCCTCGAGGCCATAACCTCGGAGACGCACCGAGCTGTGCCCGGATCGCTCGTCATATGGTACGACAGCATCCTGCTGGACGGGAAGCTGGACTGGCAGAATGAGCTCAACGACAAGAACTCGTGCTTCTTTGACCTCTGTGACGGCATCTTCCTCAACTACGGTTGGACTGAGGAGATGCTTCAGAAGTCGGCGAACCTTGCGGGGGGACGTAGGAGCGACGTCTACGTCGGCATTGACGTGTTTGCGCGGAACACGAACTACACTGGCGGCTACGAAACGTACAAAGTGAGGATCTAAGACTAGAGTGTGTTGCTCACTAACGTGCGAAATCTGGCTCTAACAAACTTACTGTAATGAAAATTGTGTGCTGTGGACGCGACAGTGCTCTCCTGTCCACTCCCATCGTCCACAGCTTTGGTGCACTCAAAACTTATTTTTGAGCGATAATGTCTACCAACTAGCCAACTTGCCATCTTGTTACAAGTCATAAGTGCAGCATATTGCAGAAAAAGAAATGATAGGAGAAACATTGATAGATCAAAAGATGGCAGAATGGGTCAGGGAACAAAGAGGTGTTGCAGACATCCTTGTAGACATCAAGTGAAATAAATGGACCTGGGTTAGCCTCGTAATGCTTAAGATATTCAGTTTGACTTTACTACAACAAATGCCACTTAATGAAATTTCTCGTACAACGAAAAATTCTCATTTTCCTGTCAGCAGCACATACAATGCATGAATATTCTTGCAGATAAAATAAACTTTCCAGCCATATATAGTCCAAAGTTTTTAAAGTTGAAATTTAGAAACTAAAAACTGATCCTACCATCTCGGGATCGATTTGGTCCCTTTTTCAGGGGTGACTGTGCGATAGGCTCCGAAGTTAGCGACTTTTTTTGGCAGTGTCCCCCTCTCCATCATCCTTCTACCCGTCGTTCTTGTTGGTGCGTTTTTTTTTTTCACTGGTTCTGCAGACTGTGCACGTATACACTCAGTAAGGTTCCAGTTGAGTGGTTAATATGTTCCAGTGAAGTTTGGATATGCCAGGACTCTGATAACTGTGCTTTTTGTGTAACTAACTTCTGTGTCGATGGCCCGGGTGTCATTGAAATTGATGCGATGGGCCATCTTTTCACTGTGTTCAGCGAGAGCATTTCATGCAGCGTTTAAGCTGTGCACGTCGTTTGGATGTTGTTATATCCTTTCATCGAAGTTGTTTGTCTCACTGATGTAAGTGGCGTGACAGTCCATGCATGGAACCTCGTACACTAGCCCGAGGAATTTCTCTTTAGGAAGCCGACCTTCTGGTCGCGGCAAGAGTCGCCAGATTGTTGAAACGGGTTTGTGCGCGACCTTCCCCGAACTCCTTTGGGAACAGTTGCGCGCAGGCCTGTGTAACACAGAATTAAATTTATTTTCCAGGCAGTCAAACAAGCTCGTCAACACGGGCTGTCGTCGGCCATATTTGCTGCCGGTTGGGTTTATGAGACACAGGAAAGGTCAAAGTTTGCGGAACACCAGTACCGGTGAGTTTCAAGAGCAGCTCAATGTGTCTGTCCAATGTAAATTGTTTTCTTTTGAGCATGGTAAAACTGGCACGAAAAGAAGTGGCATGAACGGGAAGAGGCCGATTGCTGTGGAAACTTGGCCATGTCCGATCGGCACACGATGTTATAAGTGTTTTGTAGGGCTGAAATCGTAAAGCAATAGGCCCTGTTCATTGCAGATTTTTTCAGGTTTGCTTTCAAGTACTGTGATATGCACTGAAAATCTGAAAGTAAAGTGAAGTGACTAGATGTGAAGAACCAGTATTAAAATTGAAACAAATTGATTGGATACATGAAATTCGCATGAGGTGTGCGACATACTTAATCATGCATCTGCTTAATCACCACAGATTATTTAATGTAGCAATCACTCTGTACACAGAGAAAATTCTGCAAAGGTATATATTCAAACACACTTTTGAAGGAGCACTGACACAAAAATCTTACCTCTTGTTTTTTCTGTTCCAGTAAATAGCTAATCAAACACTTATCGTAGCGGGAAACCTCGTTTGTTCAAGCCTGCGATGGTTAATTATTTGGAGACAAATTTGTAACGTCTAGTCAAAGTTTCAGTTTCAAAGAGCATCTAGTGAGGTGCGTCTCAAGATGGCTTTCTTGCAAACATAGCTTGCTACAGGAGGACACGAAATCACAATTTTCTGGGATAAATTTAAGAATTGATGGGCGCCTAAGCTTTGCCTTTAAGAGTTGCAAGCGATAGCAATACACTGCCCAATCCTTATCGCACTCTGTTTCAGTTTTCATTATGTTCAGTTGCTCAGTCAGCCATAGCCACTAGTGAAGCTAAGGTTTGCCCCCTCTCCAACAGCACTTGTATGGCAACAGTTTACCCATTGTGTGTGTGGAAACAGAATGTGTGCACTAATTTGTGTGCCCCTTGTAACCAGTGGCATGCTTTAAGCCAGCAGTGATTGCACACGTGACACTTTTCTGAAGTTGCGATGCACCCGCTGCGCGTTTGTAAGGGAATACACATGTAAACGTGTGTGCCTTTTGTAATAAGCGGCCGGCTTTTAACTACCAATTCGTTATACGGTTTGCACAGTGGGACGCCCTATGGCAGTCTATGCCTGTAGCACTTTCTAGTGCGATATTACATTTCATAATGTAACACCTGTACACATGAGGCACAGTTTGTGAAGCATGAAAGTTACGTTCAATGTAGTTCAAAGCTTTGGCATGGCTCTGTTGTAGAGCACCTGCTTACTACTCCAAAGGCCTGGGTTCGATTCTGTCTTGAGTACACCATTTTTTATTACTTGGATCTATGGAGATTTTTCTGTCGCAGACAATGACGACTTTTCCAACAACGAACAACAGGGATGCTGGAATTTATGCAACACTGGCCCCTCAACGCTATCGAGTTGCTGTGCGGGAACCCCAGAAATGCACTGACGAGGCAAAGGTGTCAGCTTTCCTGCACTCGTGCATGTCCATAAAGGACATGCTGGCACTTTTTGTTGAGAAGGTCTGCTAGGAGAAAACACTCTCAAGGATCGTGGCAGCCAACACAAACTGGTGATGCAGGTAGCTGTCGATTGTTAAAAACAAAGGGGCACTGACACAAAAAATGCCAGGCCTGCGCTGAACGTGCAGCACAGTCACAGCGAAAGCTAGAAGAGTGGCCTTTCAGAAGCCCATTCTAAACAATATTTGGGTAACTATACTGCAAGCACACTTGCTGGGTACCCACTATGCCACAAATAATCATAATTTTTGTTTAGAAAGTCACCATTCAGTACGCTATCCTTCCTCATTCTTTGGCAAAGCATGGTATCCACCATGCACTTGCTAAAAATATTGCGCAACTTTTTTATGCAGTGGCTGACGATGATGAAGCATTATGGCTGAAGTTGGCATGCGCCACAGTTAATGTGTGATCAAGAACAAGCTCTCTGATGGGTTGGAGCATTGGACGACCCAGTGAAGCCTGGCTGTTCCCGTCTAAAACGCTTTATTACTCACATTAGTAATGCGATTCTTTCCCGACATGAAGCCTGCCTAAGGCCAGTTTAGAAACAATTTCCAAGCACCGGCGTGGCTCAGTGGTAGAATACCAGGCTGACCCGGATTGGAACCCCATTGTGTCCTTGCTGTTTTTTATTTACAGAGTTTTTTTTCTATGTTTCGCGACACTAGTTATGGACACCGGCAGTGACGGCAGACAACTATGGTGCTGCACGTGACCTATGTTCTGATCTCATAACAGCTTTCGCTGTAAAAATTTTGGTCCCATATGTTTTAGCTGCAATGTGTTGCTGGGGGCCTGCTAGCCATAACACGGCACATAATTTCCTGTGGAGTGCAACAGATAATAATTATTGGCTTTTCATTACCGACCAATCACAGTGTTGGTTTGAAAGAGCTCCAAGAACGACCAGCTGCCAGGTGCTACCATAACCACCTATGCAACGCTCAACCACGTCAGCACACAGAGCTGTGATGCACTTCTGCATGGAATGCGTCATTAAGTCTGTTCGAACAGGAAACAGGACAGCAGTGTCGCCAAACACAAAACTGTCATTGTGTGTGCTGTGACCACAAAATCGCAAGCAGTTGCTGCGCAGTAGTCAGTTTGTTGGAACAACAAAAAGAAAAATGGTGCTTATGACCTCATCATAACTTGAACTGCAGCTGTATTCACTGCAGCGGCACAATGCGAGAGAAGTAGGGAGGTCACCATGGATTAATTTTGAGAGGGAGGGGCTCGATCGTGCACACTAACTTCAAAGATCACGTAAAATAACCTCCCAAACTATGTTCGCTGTTCATATTTTGCAGATTGTATATAGTATGCATGCTCCCGGAAATCGATCTCGCTGGCTATCTCGGCTGCAAAATTTTGTCTCTCTCAGTACTCCTTTAAGATCAAGTTTGGTGTCGGTGTTATGAGGTGGAGTGACTTGCACGACACTAATATACATTAACGCTACCTGACATTAAGTGTGTTCTAGGGTATATTAGCTATTGATGTATTGTAAATGATGCTAGTGGGTCCTCACAAATTTATTCCAACAGTTATCTCGCCTTCAAAATTTTGTGGGTACACTGTTTAGCTGCAGATACTTAGATGTGTCTGCACTTTATGTCATTCTGCAGTATTTCTCCAATAACAAAGTTGTTCGTTTGTTATTGTGTGCACATCACTTAGTGCTGGTGATGACATGTTGGTAATGTTGGAACGCACATAAGTTGGTGATGTTGATGCTTTTGCAGGTTTTGGAACTTCCCCAGGCATTGCCGTTCGGAGTGGCGCCTGAGCACACTGCCCCTGTGCACCAGTTTCTGCCAGGGATTCGGCAAGAACCTGTACAAAGCGGGGAAGGTCGGCTGATTTCTGTCCCTGTTAACCCGACTTGATTGACTTGCAGCACTGATTGAACTGGGAAACCACCAAAAGTTGCTATAAGCTGTTTACAACATTGTGTTTGGTTTGGATGCAGCTGGTGCAGAGAGGGTCGTGGTTTAACCTGTCCGAGCAACAGCTGCAGCCTTGGGACCAGGGTCGCTCACTGTGTGGTGGTTGTGGAGCGGCCGTTGCATGTACGGACTATGCATACAACGGCGGCAGCTGTCTTCTCCTGCGCTTCGCTCCAAGTGCCGATAAACCAGACGTGAAACCTTACTTCAGGTAAAATCCTCTGCCACTGTGTAGCAGTGCTTTCATGTCTCCTGATGACATTGTTGTGGGAACTGAGTGCTTAGTAACGAACATATTTTCGTTTGCATCGTATTCAGTTCAAGTACTGTTGACGCAACATTGGCTTGCATAGTTGCATCAGAGCCAGCATGAGCTTCTGTGGCTGTACTTATAAAGGCATGATGCGGTCGACTTAAGCGGTTGCATATATCAGTTCTTGTACTTAAGGTCTTGATCTCAAATTTCAGTCTGTGGCCTACTGTATATGTGAAGATCGCTCTCTTTAAGTAAAAATTTCATCGTTTATCTTGTTTATCTTGTTCTTATTACTGAAGTGTCGCGCTCTGGAATTTAGTTTCGTGAGTGAAAACTTTTTCTGGTGAAGAGGTCATGCAAGGAAGATAAAGAAAAAAAAAAAAAAAACCTTAGCCTTTGTGAGCACGCTTGAGCTTGTGCAGAGTGCTATAGTGAAAGTTCATTAATTTGAATATAGTTAATTCTAACTTCCAGTTAATTTGAACTGACCCCCCGGTCCCGGCACAGTCCTGTGTATTTCTGTGGGAGAAAACTCCCGATAATTTGAACGTGTCGGCATTGACAGTAGTTAATTCGAACTGAGAGCCTCCGGTTTTCATTCGCTCCTCAAACCAAACCAACTTTACCAGAGATGCAAAGCAATGAAAGAGCTGAATTTTCTAAGCAGATGAGAAAATTGGGACCCTGCGTCAGAGCTCTTAAACAAGCTGAGAGCGATGCTCATAAAATCTAGATAAATATGTGGGGTCTAACGTTAATGCTCATAAAGCCTAGACGGAAGACACGAAAGCAAACAAAAATTACTTATTTGAATTATGATTGCAATAGTTTTGCTATAGAAATAAACGTGCTTTGCAGTATGAATAGGGCCATATAAGTATTTTGACATGCCGGCACACTTCTCACATGAATGCATGTGGAGCTTGTTCCTGCCGAGTCAGTGACTGATCATGGAGTTGTGTTCACTGTTAGAGCTCAATGAACTCAATTTACGAAATCACGTGCCACAAATGTGTGATATCGCCTAAGTCGCGATAACAAGTCCAGAGGTGGCTTCTTCAAGTTTTATCCTCGCACTGTGGCGTCATGTTCGTTCATTCTAGTGCGCGCCTGCTAATTCAAGCTCCGCTCAAATTGAACAGTTTTGTAGACCCCTTTGAGTTCGAATTAATTGGATTTTTCTCTAATATGACACATATATACACTTTATGTAGTTCACAATTTTAAATGGAAGTTGGTAGTGTAGGCCTGTTGTACTCACATGAACGAAAATTGTGACACAAAGATGAGACCAGCGGTAGCTAGAACAATTGTTAGTGTTGCATTGTTGAAACATTGAATGTGAATTGTGAATTACATCATGAATAACTTGGGAATATTTTGGACTGTATTCTACTGACTTAAAACACATTTTATATATTGCCATTCCAAATTTGGCTAACTTGCAATAGTGTATATAGGTTAACTTTCAGATCTTGTTATCTGAACCTGGATATTATTCAGCCCGAATTACCGTATGCTTTGCATTGAATCCTAACATCGATATTAGCAAAGGCCACGTTGCTGCGTGCAGTGATTTATGCACAATTCTCGACAGATTGTTTGCCTGCGACCTTCCTCTGGGCTCTTTGAGCATCAGCTACACGTTCTCCCGGGACGTCAACCCCACGATTGGCGTCGACATCGTGCTCGTCTTGAAGGTCCAGGCATCGTCGGGCGAGAAGGAACGACTGACACTGGGCGTCATCATCTCGACGCCCGACGATAAACGTTACGAAGCCAAACTTGTCCTTTCGGATGCGCCTGCTCCCGTGAGCTCTGTCGACAGCAACTGTGCTTGGCAGACTAGGTATGTGAAAAACAAAATGAGACTAGTAGCGGTTCCGCAACACTTTTTGAGCATGGTCAGAAAACGCCAATCGGTAGTCGAGGCTTCCGAGAACACAAGAGTCGAACATAGCACAGTGCGCGCCTGCAATTTGTAACGAATAGTCAAAGTCAGCTGAAAATCACTTGTTCTTCTCTCGACAAATGATGTCATGAGCCGAAATGACCGCACCATATACCGAAAGTCCGTGGCCATTAGCTTTGAGCATCGTGCGCTGTATAGTTACTGTGGACGCCGCAACATGCCACCGTGCACCTACGTCGCACTGAGGGTAAGCCGTGTGCCCCCCCCCCCCCCCCCCCAAAATAAAAGAAATAAATATAGTGTTCAAGATTATGACCCACGCTGACAAATGATTGACTGATATGTGGGGTTTAACGTCGCAAAACCATCATATGATTATCAGAAACGCCGTAGTGGATGACTCCGGAAATTTCGACCAATATCTACCACCTGGGGCTCTCTAACTTGCACCCAAATCTGAGCACATGGGCCTACAATGTTTTTGCCTCCATCGGAACTGCAGCCGCCGCAGCCCGGATTTGATCCCGCGACCTGCGGGTCAGCAGCTGAGTACCTTAGTCACTAGACCACTGCAGCAGGGCGCACGCTGACAAATGAACGAAGCTTCTTGCTTCCTTGAAACCATCGCCCCGCAGAGCTTTCCAGCACATTCGCTGTTACGAAAGGAGAAAAAAAAAAGGCTTAGAGTGTGTGGCTAATCCCAGATTTTAAATCAGTCGATTGAGACAGTCGATTGGTGAGAGAATAATCTCATTTAATAAAGCCATTAGATGATTACTGGGACATGGATGATTACGGAACTGGCCCCTAGGCTAGTGTCTGTGTTAAAGGGGCCCTGAAACACTTTCTGAGCATGGTCAGAAAATGCTGCCGATCGGTGGTCGAGGCTCACGAGAATGAGCGAGCTAAATAATATAGCGCAGCACGTGGACTTAAATTAGCAATGAATTCTCAAAGTCGGGTAGAAATCGCTTTCTCTTTTTTCGACAAATGACAATACGTGCTCAAAAATTACTAGTCACAGCCATTGTGTCAGCCATTGGCCGACTTGAGCATGGTATGCCAAGTCACTACAAGAGCCGCCGCGGGAGGCCACTACTTGTCCACGTGTGGGCGTGATGTTGCGCTGGAAATCTGGGTATTCAAAGAAAAAAAGAATGAAAAAGTGCTCAAGATCATGAGGCCCGCGTGAAGCACTTGTGTCTCTGGTAACCATGTCCCTTGTATGCATTGTGATCATGGCAAATGTACGAAAACCAACCAAACCATTATAAAATATCTCTTATAACTATTTGTAGTTTGTGACAACCTCTTGTAATGAGATTTTATTCTATCAGCAATTAAACAAAACTTGTAGTGGTGTCCGGTGAGGGGGCACTGGCCTCTCTGCATGTATTAATTCAAGCAGCTGTCTTTTCAAACTCTTGTTCATTTCAGAAAGTACCTCGTGAAAGATTTGCAGACCGACCGAGGTGCCACTCTCAGAGAGGTCGGCGTCTCCTTCTTGTTCCACGAGCCGACCGTCGGCGGTAGGTGCCTCTTGGGAGAACTTATCCTGAAAAGGCCGAACGATGAATCCGAGTGTGTGACCGCAAAGAACAGCTCTGGCAGTGAAGGCTTGGAAGACTCTGTACTTGACGTCGGGGCGCCGAGCGATGCTGCAGAGCCGCATGCGAAGCGTCAGCGAGTCTAGGACGGCGAGACTTAAAAACAGTTCTCCCGATGCAGTGGCCTTGGATGCCAATAATTCCGGCACGCTCGATGACACGCAAGATGAAGTTATAGATTAAATAAGTCGCAAGCTGCTCACCCATAAGCCTAGCCTTTTTATTTCTTTGTTCCACACTGATGTGCCAGAAGCTATAAGGGTTTCTTATGCATCTGCCTCAGTCGACTCGAAGGCGAAAGCTATCATTTTGTTTTTCTTCTTAGTCGATGTATTGGAAGTTTTGTGCAACTAACATGGTTTGGCAATGCGTCCAGGATCGGAGGCATTGTAAGCTTTTTCCACGTCACTTGGCTTCGCACTGCTTCTGGGATCGACCCATCTTTGAACAAGTGATGATATGATGCGATGATGTCACCATGTCATGCCACATGGAGATGTCATGATGTCACAAATTTTTGGCTATCCGTGACATCATCATTACGTCACATAACGTGGTGTCACATGGTGAAATCGTCACTTGATAGTTTTTTTCTCATCATTCATGTTGACACTGCCCATGTTGACATGGGTCGCTGATGTGGGACACCAGTAAATTTTCGCGTTTCATGAGGCATATAATGCTCTCACGTTACATCGAAGTTAGATATGTAGTACTTCGTTATCTTGGATGTATTGACTAGAAACTGTCAGTTTAGCACATTTTAACAGCGAAGCTGTTCAGCAAATCTTTTCTTGTGAGTTGATGCAGAAAGCTATCATCACCATATCGAAGTTATGTCTGTAGTACACTCAAATGTCGACATAACGTACCTGGATATAATCAAATGTCAGTTATAGCGAAGTAAATTAAGTGTGCTCTTACAGTAAATACAGTGCTAGTAATATAGTTATATAATGAATTTCCGGATATAACAAACTATTTTTGTGTAATATGCAACTTTCTTTTAATGAGGTTTGAGTGTACTTCATTATTCTGGTTGTACTGACTAGACACTTTAAGTTTGCTGCCATTTAACAGCAAAGATACTTAGCAAATTGTTCATTGTAAATCAATCTAAAAAACTACCATCATAAAAGTTATGTGCCACAGAAATTGGCTACAACCCAGAAGAATCTGCATTACTTGGCTAAGGCCTAAAAACATCATAGCAGCAACCAAATTAGTCTTCAGAATCCAATTTCGGTGTTTCAAGTTTTGCGCGGTTCAGTGCAAGCTTTGCCACTTTTAAAAGTATTTTTTTTGGGAATGATGGTAACTTTATCGTTCAACTTACAGGGAAACGCCTACGGTCAAATACAACTTAAGATGGCTGAATCGTTACAACCGTTCACCTCCACGACTAGAGATATAGTCGTGCTCATGCATTTGGTAGTTATCTCTGACGGTAGGGTCACCAGCTGTCCTGCTCATCTGGAGTCAGGAGTAGCTGATGGGGCTAGCTTGTTTACATATGCCTTTGAGGGGGAAATCTTGTTATAGTACTTAGCTACAGGTGAGGCTAATGAACTTATTTATGTTACAAAACAGATTTCAATGGTGTTTGTACATTCTTGGCATCAGAAGGAATTCTAAGCAACTCGATGATACATTTTGCGTTAGAGTCTTGACGACCTCATGGTTTAAAGCTGATCACCCTCTATGAATGGCGCACACGTTCTGTGCCTATTCCCTCAAGGCCACGTAGTGGGTGCATAGTAATGTTTGAATACGTTTCGTGCACCAAGTGTTTGAAGTACCCACAAGGGATAGTATTTCGCTATTGCATTAGACTCCTAAAGAAGAATCTTCAGAACACTCCAATTAAAATTTTTAATTCCTCTTCATTATTATCATAACTACCATAAAACACTTAAGTCTTTGAAAGATACCTGTAATGCTTCCTATAAATTTCTTAGCCTGATTGTCTGTTGGTTTGATATTACGTGGCGGGTGTCTAACAAAAAGAAACGAGCCCTCGTGTAATCCCCCCTTTCTTTGCATATTCTCGGTAATGAAATATATAAAGGCATCAGAATTTATTGTAGCATTATTTTGGTGTAATACAAATTTCTAACTGCAAAGAAAACATTTCAGCATAGGTTAATGGAGCTAGGGTCAGTTGTGCGCTGTATATGTTTGCTGTTGCATAAACAGCACGGGACATCGGCAATGAACCTGTGTGGTGCAAGTTAGTGCTGTGTACTTTTCTTCTCTGTCCTGGTCATGCTGCGGTATGCACTCTGAATTATGAATACACACACAATAGCAGGCACAGGAATCACAGTAGGAGAAGGCAAATGCGTTGCAACACATGAATTACTTTTCTTTGTGTCATCCTTTCATCTGGCTTTTTGTGGCAGTTTGGGAGGCAGCAATTCTGATACCGAGGTCATTTCATGCTTACTTGTAACACTGGTTCAAAAAGTGCCCCCCCCCCCCCCCTCCCAACTCTATTGCTTAGGCCAGCGTTCAGGAACCCTTCAAAGGCTTCCTTGCCTGGGGCATTACAGGGGGGGGGGGGGCATCATACATTATATTGAATATTTAGATTAACAATAGGCAGTGAAGATAGTTTTAGTTTATTCAGTTCTTGTGATTTGTACCACTACGAACCAGCTACTAACTACACCGGAAGCAATTTATTGAGGATGCAGCTAGTGCACACAAACGAGGCTGCCATCGCTCCTTATCGTCATTCACTTGGTGCTGATGAAAAGACTAGTCGCTTTCGTCACTAGACATCGAGTATTCAAAAGTGATTGATTCGAGCCCTTCTTCGGCCTGGTCGTGTTGTCCGCAATCTTTCGGGTCCCCCGCCGCCTCTCTTTCGGACGTAATCTCCGGCCGCTTAACGACGAGCTCGCCAAGGTAGCAAGCTATTTCTTCATTGGCATTAAAGGAAATCCCTATTTCTTCAAGGAGAGCCGAGCCCGTGGCATCTTTCACATAATACTTTCTGTAAAACAAGGTGTGTTGTTCAGTTGAGCTCGAGCTCCAGGACGTTAGCAGCATGACTGGGGCTCGCAGTCCTATTGCGGTATGGGAGGTATAAAATCCTGTTTTGCCTAATAATAAAGTAGATGTGTGCAGCTGAATTTTTAAGAGCAAACTGGCCAGTGTGCAAGGTATTGCAAACACAACAGCGAATTTGTGCAGATGCATAAAGTGAAGCGTGTTTAAGAACACAGCATGATACAAGCACCAACAGTCGCCGAGTGTCAGTTTATTGGTAAAGCATGTGTGTGCTATACAAAAGCTCGACACCAGAAAACATAGACTATATCAGACACTTACATGCCACAGACAGCCAGTTACTTTTTGGCGTGTTTATGCTTCATTATGGGGATTTCCATCGTAAAAAAGCGTAAGAGTAGTGGCCAGATCACAATTTGCATCGATGATGCAAAGAAGTATAAGGCATGTCGTTGGGCCTGTTGGTTCATCGATTTTGAAGACATGTATAAACAGAGCGAAAAGGCGGATACATAGAACATGTCAAAACATGCAGAACATGCAGAACTTGTCAAAGTACAAATGTGTGTTTTCCTGCCATGGATATGTTTTCTCTTTGTTCTGAATTACCTGCTCTAAAAGATTAAGCTCTATTATTTCTGTCTATATTGAAAGTAAATTGGATAGTTGTGACAAAATTGTTGAGGAATTATGAACCTCCCTCTTTCCACCCTTGTGCCTAGTAAACACACATCCTGCGGATAGCTGACTGCGGATAGCAGAGACTACTGTGAACATCTCGCCGTCAAATACCGCCATCGTGCAGGGCAAGGAGAGACTAAAGGAGGGTTTACAAGTGAAATGCGAAGTTAACTTATTCGGCGCCCTTTTTGATACACACCTAGGCCTCTTCACTTCAGAACTCCCCGCACCAGCTGTTTGACGTCGAATAGCAGATAGCTTGATATTGACCAATAGCAGACATAAGCCAATAGAGCGATGTTTGCATCAAATGTGCTTCCTACTGCCGCGTGCCGTCGCTGCACTCGGAGGTCTGCTAGTATTACACAGTGAGCCAAAATCGCAATGGGAGAGTGGGGTAATATTTTATCGCGCAGGCTCAAGGTCATGGCGTGTACTAACTTCTTTCCTTAGTGCCATCCCTCCCTGCTTTGCTTCCAGCGTGATTGTTGCAACAGTAACTCCCAGCACCTGCTCCCAGCACAGATACGATGCATTTAGACGGAAATCTATTCATGAGGCGATAAGCTCCAGTATACTGAGGTCCTTTGATAATCACTTGGAATTATGACCACTTTAAATGATGAAATGAGGTGCTGAGAAACAAGATTGCCGAACGAGTTCACGAACAAAATGTTACAGACCTTGTCAACCAGCCACCTTGAGCGAGGCTCAGGTCACCTTGGGCGCTGTCGGTGATCTCGCGCTCCACGATGTACTTCTCACTCTGGGGGACGACAATCACTGAGCCCAGTGACAGCTCGTCCTCCTTGCCACCGACGTCCCGGACTCGAAGGATCAGGTTCACGTCGTGCCCCGCCAAGGAGCCCTGCTGCTTGTTCTTGAAAGCGTAGCTGACGCACAGTGAGCCCAGTGGCAGATCGAAGCCGAACAACCTGCACAAGGAATAGTGCAATCGACTGAGAAGGTCAAAGCAGAGGAATAGGTAGAAATGTTTTTTCGGGAGGGGCGGGGGAAGGCTCCTTGATTTATGGGAGGGAAGTGGACAAAGGCGGATCCAGCCACTCATTTTAGCGGGGGGGGGAGGGCGGTAGCCTGAAGCAAAACCGAAGAAAGGGGCGTGGTCATGACTACTTTGTTTTTACTAGCAGAGAAACCCCTTCGCAGCATAAATACTGTTAACGTTTGCTCACAGTGGTTGCACTAATTTATCCTAATTGGTGATAGGAAATGGACTACGTGCACTGAAGTGAGAGGAAGGTGCTGACTCAGATTTTGAGGGGGGGGGGGGGCAATCGCCTCTACTGCCCCCCCTCTGTATTCGCCATTGGAGGTAGAGAACTTCTTCGAAATGGCCCTTTTCGTCTTCACTTTGTATGCTATGGCGGCAAAAAAAAAAAAAAAAAAAAAAAAAACTCGATGGGGCACGGGCGTGGTGTGCCACCCCCTGGTACGTAACTGGGTCAAAGTAATTTGATGATTACTTGTGCCTGATTACGCTTTCGCCTGTGCCTCTCCTTATAGTGTTAACTTCAGGGATCTGACTTTTTAACAGCATTTGTTAAAGAGTTGCACATTTCGGCGGTGACTTTGTCACAGGCAAAAAAATACCATGGTCAGATACAGAAATGCAGCTCTCAAAAGCGCTCCGCTCAAACGTGTAATTTGTGCGCACTGTTTTCCAATAATTGATGCTCTCTAGATCTTGGGGTTGTTGGCACTCAGATCTGTCTTATTTCTGAAATGTTCCCTGCTCACTAAGAAAGTATATTTCTTTCAAAAATGTAATACGAACTAAACTAAGTAGCTACTCTTTTGTGGCAATCAGTCGTTTCTGCTATGTTTATTTGACTTGTATTCAGGTAAATTGACATATTTATTGGTGCATTCTGAATATGAAAATGCACATAAGTCATAGAAAGGAAAGAAGAAAAAATTCTTAGTATGTCAGGCACACACGCGAAGATTTGTTGTGTATAGTATATGTGCATGAAGAGAGAGGGTTAGTATAATGTAAACATTATTAGGAATCGCAAAACAAGTCCTTATGTATTTGATACGAGTACATTATGCACCTTCAATTCATGTTCACATTTCCACAATCATCGTTATAAACAGTTTACCCTCAGTGCCACAAAGAATTCTAATTCCCGGCCGTATTGAGAAGCTTAGCAATTACTTGAAGTAAGGGATCAAAGTGGATCCTGGTGCCTTTTCTGGACTGTAGTGCAAATAGAGACAGCCGCCACCAGTGTAAGAGGTCGCGGTAGACAATATGGCCGACCCGCCACTGCCGCAGAGGTTCGTTCCTTGATCTCGGGGCTGCAGCTGCTGCTTTGAAAGATCAAACCACGGTGCTGGTTTGACAACCTGTAAAATGAGCAATGGGGTTTCGTGATTGAGGTACTGCACATGTCGAAACTGAAGCTTCAAACTAAATCTCTGAATGTAATATATCAAGTCGTGTGATTTTATTCATCCTAGATAGACGGGGTGTATAAACACAGACACCAGAGAGGCAAACACTACAAATGTCTTTTGACTGGAGTTTGTCGTGTCGACACTTTTGTGCCCGTGTTTGCACACTCTGTCTTTTTAAACACGAATATATCTACTAACTAGCTCAACCCTCTGCTATTATAAGCTTAATTTTATTCACCTATTATTGCCAAATTAAAATTTGGCTGCAGCAAAAAAAAAAAACGTCAATCACAGGACGAAGAGGAATTTAGCGGACGTAATGCACTCTTTAAACAGGTGATCTTGTTTATGTGTGGGCTGTGCCATACAGAGAAAAAAAAAGTAACTCTTAATGATGCCTCTGCTATAGTTAGGCTGAAATCCCGGCAGACTCACCCGGCCTTGGTTGTACAGACGAGTACCGCATCCCTGGCAGAACGTTGTGGACAAGGGAAGTGCCGTAACCTTGCACTGTGAGCGGCAGTCCTCCGGCAGTGCCCACAACCTGCATCGTAGAAACGATCCCTGTGAGTCACGCACGTTCCATGCATGTCTGCTGCATTCAAGGCACGAGGCCAAGTGGGAAAAAGCGAATTTTTTCTCATAGTGCTCTCTTTTCGTTGTTAAATATGTTAAATGTGCCATTTGTTGCCCGTCATTCTATTGCATGAAGCTTCCATCTACGGCATTTCTTTCGAAAGATACAAGCAGAAATTTTACACCACCCATCCCCTACAACAGAGAAACTGAAAGTGCCAGTTATCATTAAGCTTGTTTTTAAAGATATTTTTCCGTCATTGGCAAAGACAGGTGTGCCACTGCTACATTCGATCGCTTTGTTACTTTGAAAACATACGTCGCAGTATTTTGCAGGTTGCTTGAACAGAGATTTTACTAGAAGTTTTAAAATTTGGCAAGGAAATACCAAGCCATTCTAAACATAATAAAAATCTAATCATCTTACTGTTCTCATTTTTGGAAGGATTGTTTGTAAAGAAGATTTCGCATGTAAAATGATGTAATATTTTCTAGTTATCACATGTGTCCAGGGTATTCTACTGAGCAAAAATATTTATAGACATGACTATTCTTTAGTTAAAAATATAGATGCTTGATGACTAGGATTTTAGGGCTTTTTTCTTAAAGAAAAGCTTTTGCAAAAAGTACAATTATAGTGGCAACATCTTTACTTTGCTTCAGTAAAAGCGCATGTTATTCAGAAAGAAGCAACAAATATTTTATCTGGGTAGTTGCAGTGGTTACAGAAAAGATTGTTCCTTTTCTGACGAAAATTGGTTTTTGAAAAAAAAAAGGCCATTTCAAGTTTGAGCAGTCACGCTGTGCGGTGACGGGATGAGGTGCGTTAGGGGCCATATTTATGCTGTTCACTGCACATAAAAGTGCGACACTTCGTGGAAGCACTTGTCGGAAATGCTCGAACATCATGCCATGAAAACTGAAAAATCGCATATTCGGACGATTTCCCCCTCGATCCCCCGTTAAGAGTGATATCCCCTTTTGTGCATGCGTTTGACTTTAAAGCTCAGTCTCCTTCTTGCACGTGCGTCGTCATAGCAACGGACTTGCGTAGTGTCAGGCTATGCGCTATTTTACTCCTTGGCAACTCACCTGCGCTGGTTTGCCGCGAAATTTTTCTCGTCTTGGGTCTCGTACACCCAGCCAGCCGCAAAGACGGCCGCCGACAAGCCGCATCTGTGGGCGAGCTGGACAGCCTGGAATGTAGAGTTTGAAAAAGAGCTTCCGCAACGGGACCGAGATTTTTATGCGGCGTGCACCGTGCATGCCGCGTAGAGTGGACAGGGGGGGGGGGAGGGGGATGAACGCCCTTGTAGCTCAGTGGTAGAGCAGCAGACGCGTTATTCAGAAGTTGCAGGTTAGGATCCATCTGATAGCGGCTTTTCTTTTCCTCCACTTTTTTTTATTCACATTTACATTACAATCACTTATAACATCTCCTGTACTTTCCTTGGCATCACTGTCTGTTAGTTCTAACTGTAGCATGTTTCTCGATTAGTTGTACGTATTTAAGAATATAGTTGGTTTGTATTGATCCAGTTACACAATAGCGTACCAGATGAACGAAAGTGCGTTGATGTAATAAACATTTACTTATCATTTCATTGATATTTTAGATTTGGCATTTGGTTAATTCGGTCAGTTTCTCCAGTCCCGTGGAAGCTGAATTAACAAGTTCTTACACTGCAACCTTTCAACTTACTGCATTCCGTTTGCGAACAGCATTGTAGTATCTTTATTACTTTAAATGCTACTTCTAAAGCTCCCAATAACAAGCATATCGAATGGTAGACGAACCTAAACCTTTGCCGAGTCCATACATACCTTGTACATGTCGTAGCCACCAGAGTACCATGTCTCACGCGCGTATACGTCGACGCCGGCGTAGACGTCGGCTTTGCGGTCGCCCGCAACTCGTGCGGAGTTCAGGAGCATGTCTTCGGTCCAGCGGAAGTCGAGGAATATGCCGTCGCACAGGTCAAAGAAGCAGGCGTTTTTTTCGTTCAGCTCGTTGTGCGGCTTCGCGTTGCCGTCGACGTCCACGGCGTCGTACCAGATCACCAGCGACCCGGGTACGGCTTTGTGCGTTTCTTCGGTGATGGACGACAGCAAGTTCTCCAAGAATGAAATACAGCTGGGATCCTGAAAACAGTGCACATCAACGACCTTACTGTGGCACACAGTCAAAACGGTGTTGCGTGTGACCCGCATGGCACGTACATAATATGCAATATGGCTCAACGTTATGGGATGTCTGCTCTAACTCCCCAAACTCTAAAGAAAGATCAAGTAATAAGGGTGTCTTTTTATCTTACAGCAATAATCACAATCCAGCTTGCTACCACTTCCTTTCTTGAAAACTCTCTCCCCTCTCTCTCTGTCTCTATGTTTGTGTGTGTCGTCACGTGCAAGGAACAAGATTGGGCGATGCCAATGCATGTATGGGTCATTGTTATCACAATAATGAAACATATCCCCCATCAGCATAGGCGGGTTTTATATGGTTTCACCAGAAAAGTTCACGTTTGCACATTGGGATGGTGGCAATTAAAAAAAAATGATTCATAATGTACAGTTTAAGGTAGGAAATTTTTGCCAGTGATTGCTAAATGGTGTGAACGTTGATAGCTGGATCACGTATTCATTTATTCGTGACCATATCGTACACTCTAGGTGGCAATATAAAAGTATATTGTCTTCAATTCTTTTCTCGCACTGACTGTCTACCTTTGAAACTGTACCGGACGCAGCAACAAAGCAAAATCTGCTGAAGATGTACACAAAACCTATAGATTAATTTTGTGAAGTACCAAAGTGTGGATGTCCAATCCTGGTCACACAGCATGTAAATGAAACGACGTAACATCTATTTAATGCAAGTTTTTTTACCGAACGCAACATTTCTCTCTCGCGGCGTCACATACATGTCAAATGTTTCAGTGTTTACCACTGATGCTCACAGTAAGCGAGGTCTACAAGAATAAAAAAATCCTTCAGAGGAAAACAAACCTGTGAAGCACGCTTTCCATATGCGCGCGAAATTGTGCTGGTTGAAAAGCTTCTTGAAAGCAACCACTCTCTTCATGGCAATTGAGATTAGCATAGGTGATGCCATAACACCCAAAGATGTACAATATTTAGTGTATGACGGTACCCACCTCCACAGCCTGCTACTGCTGCAGTTAATTAGATGATAGAGTACGGCGAATAGCTAGGTCTGCCGATTTTCGCTAGGACGTATACCATTGTCACAATGAGTTTCAATTAACCGATATTGCCCATAATGGACACTGCTGGACACCCATAATGGACACGTGCGACACTGCTGGTGTCACCATTTTTAAAGCGATATAGTTTCTGGCGCATACATGAAGGAAATATGAACAGAATCATATCCTATGACCCATACATAATGTTAAACAATCTTTCTCCTTTTCTAAAAGCTATTACAACTTTACAGGTGGGCAATTGAAGCTGCCATCTCACGTTACACTATGTGGTTTGCGCGACTAATCCTTAAAACAGTTCTGTATGTAAGTACACACGAGAACCTGCGTAGTATATGAATCCTTTTATGATGTACATCGAAACACGCTCATCCTTTTCCATTTGATGCAAAAGGCTGCTCAGAAAGATACATTTTATTTCACATGTGCAGTTGAAGTTGCCACCTTACGAAAACGTGTGCATGAAGCTGCTATAGCTCAGATGCCAGAACACACTCACCATCTTGCACCCGATGCTTATGAGCCATCCGTCAAACCTGCCGACCCTTGCAACGTTCGCCAGCTGGACCGCAACCTGGGATGTCAGGCCAGAAAATCGGATGGTGTTGAGGGCTTTGGTGCCATCCTTGCCCAGGATGAATGTTCCTGAAAAGCGAGGACCAGTGAAGAGGAATTGTGACAAAAAGTGAACAATTTTCGGGCAAGATATATCGATACACAATATATGAAATGCGAATGAGTTTAGAAAGATATTCAGTATGAATGCCACTGTAGACAACTATCACTTCTTTTAATCATTACGTTAATGCGTCCAGCCAACTAAGCTGAGGAAAGTAAGCCGCTTCAACCTAACTGAAAGAGTTGACATAAAAATGCATACATATTGTAAGGAATGTATTGCTACATAATTTACAAAACGTTGGTGTATTCATAATATTGCCTTTTAGCGTACGTTTGGTTGGCTGAGTATTTATTAAAAAAATGCACTGAAAAAAAAAGTGGCAGTTGAAAAAAATGTTCATACCATACAAAAGCATGGTCACTTGCGATTATATGTAGCTCTGCTGGAACTTCAACCGCACATACAGATGAGTTAACAGAACAGGTAAAAACCTGAATATTGTAGCTATGATAATTTGTACGTTTGTTAAGCTGTCCATTACGTGGAAAGCACGTTATGATATCCTGTATTTTCTATCTTTCACCAATAGCGTTTTGGTAATTATGTATGGCCACTATTTTTCCTCCCCTGTAAATACAAAAAAAACATCTTTAGTATCCAACTAGATTAATTGTGAAAACTGACTGACTGCACAACGAAAACTGGGAGATCGCTGAAGGCAAATGAGTGCCACCAGTAGCCAAGGTCTCTATACAAGGAGTCTCGTTTATGCACAGACACTATGGTCACTTCTGGCCTCGTCTAGATGTCTTCAACGACGTGCCTCCTTGTTAGACATGCTCTTGTCACTTGAAGCCTCATTGTACCCCTCAAGTTCACTTGTGTAGATTCCCACAATCAACAAGAGGAACAGATAGCTAGCCAACCGGAATATTAAGATTTAAAAATCAGCATCCAAGTACTCGGTACAAATGGTTAACCAGCGAAGGTGCTTTGTGTGGCCACAGTGTTTATCAGTGTGCCAATACCGACAGATCAATGCAGCCTTTTTAAGTTATTAGCTACGTCTTTGTGAGCTCCCTGTTCGTTGAAAGTACGAATGACGTGCGGCCTACTCAATTTGCAGAGAGAAACCGGTGCACGCGAGCTCCACTGCGGGAGACAGCAACGATGTCGGTACTGGTGTGGGCAATCGCGCACCTCTCTTTCGTAACTCATTACTTTTGCATTCGCTACTCCTTCGAATGTGCGCTAGATCCCTCCGATGCGCAGTTTGCACTTACCCGTGTCCGTGCATGTGAGAGTGTAGCTACGTGTTACAAGCTGCCACTCTAGCGTCGCCAGCGCGAAGTCGGCGACGGGAATGACAGCAGGTCGGTTCGTTCCGTACGCAAGCAGAGACAGTGAAGAGATCAGAGACGTGAGAAAACAAAACAACTTTACTGTAGTGATATTGCAGCACACGGGATCTAATACAACACTTCAATACAACTAACAAAATACATCGATACTTGATACAACTAAAGAAATATATAACAGAAACAATAAATCAGCTTACGAGAGAGAACTATTACAAACTACACAAACTAACAAGAATAGAACGACGGAGTAGAAAGTTCGAAGATATAAACAGGTGAAGGCATACGTGTGATGACCGGCAGCGTTGTGTCCCCGACGATCGGATGCGAGAAGTCGAAGAGAGTTCTGGCACGACTGCGATGTCGGTGGTGTTGCAACGCTGGTGGCTCCGGGAGGCTAGTGCTTGCAGGTGACTTCGAGCAGGTTGAGCTAACTCGAGGCGAAGTCCCGATGTCTACGTTGCCGACGTTCATATCGCGTCACAACTAGACGAACGGCTAAGTTTAGGTGGCCAGCCGATACAGAGCCACACTAAAACTTCTAGAAGAGATGCTTGTTGATCTGTTTCTACACCATCTTGGTCAGCGACTAGTCTGCCTAGCAGGGCAAAATCCTGCGCTTAAATCCCCCTCGTGTCTCCTCGCTCTCTTCCTTGGAGACAAGAGACCTCTACCTGGGTCCAATCATGCGCGTTTAATTGAGGGGAAACTCCGCCCCAAAAATATTTTGACCTCACCCCTTTTTAATAGGGAGAGGGCCCGCAACTAGCGAGAGTGACAACCTGTCGGGTTGTTGTCATACGGCTTGGCCACCAGAGCGTTTCCCACGCTTTTCTCCGTGGGAACGGTCAATCACTTAGCTCTCAGCCGGGCGTCTTGTAGTCTAATCCTTGTACGGGGTATACCGCGGCCTTCTACGACCTTGCAGACGTCGCCACGGTTACAAAAGGATTAACTAAGGAGAGCACCCCCATTTTGCACTTATCGGTTCCCTTTCATGTGCCGCCGTTTCTCACGGTCAGTCGGGGAGTACGGCGCCCGTTAATTGCCGTGACGCGGTGTCGCCGAAAATAGCCGTCCGTGACACTACGCCAACTATAAAAGCAGCCGTATCTGACCTTCCTCTCCCCCTTCTACATCCTCTGCAGAGGTGGGATGCACCGGAGGAGCTTCTGCACTGACTGACGGACCGCGATGTTTTCTCCCATCATGCCCATAAAAAGCTTCTCTAATAAACAGGAATTTGAAGCTACCTCTACGTCGAATTACTACGAAGAGCAACTGTACCGGAAAATTCGAAATCTTTTACCAAGAACTTTGACAGCGTGCTTGTGGGCAGCAGTGATCCAACCAGGAGGTGGGATTGTGACCATGTGATGAGAGTAGTAGATAAACGTGTCGATGACCTGCCAGTGATGAAAGCGGTACCCTTGAGCCTCATCAGTGCCATAGATGAATCTGAAAGGTGAGTAGCAATTGAAAAAGTATTGATGAGCTGATCTTGGTTCGCAAACGGCAGTTTGCAATGAATCGGCGCAAGTATAACAAACCACTGGGAAAATATCAGAGAGCTTGTATTCGCCAGATAAATGTTTGTCTTTGATTTATACGGAATATCTAAGACTCAAATCGCGCATGGCTCAGCAACAGTGAGCAAACGAAAAAGGGGGGAGGGGAGTCCTAGAACAGAAAAAATGTTATAAAAATTTGAGAGACTGCTGACATTTTCTTTCCGGGGTATACTACTGCACGACGCGCGTGAAGGTCTCAGTGGATGTCTGTCGCGAAGTGCCGTTGATACAGTACAGGAACGGTGCTAGGATCATTAGACTTGATTTTGGTAGCGTGGTTGATGACCCTATACTTTACTTTATAATTGCTGGCCCACGAAGAATGGAGGAGGGGGTGGGGCAGAAAGTGATAAGGGAGCAGGTTAAGTGTTCAGAAAGGACGCATGCCGTGATTCGCTACCCTCCACCACACATCCTGCGTCTCGCCTCAGCGGGTGAATTGCAACCTGTTGTGTCGGGGTTTGCCTGACATATAATGGTTGATCGTACATATAATGATCAGATTCCTCTTAGACACTACCTAGCGGTGCCTCTACATATCGCCGTTGTGCGAGGCGCCACATGAATCAAAACCAAAACTGACAAACAGAACACGAACGCCCCCCCCCCCACACCCCTTCCCTCTATCTTTCATCACCGATATAGGTTAAACCTTCAGGAGGAAAAAAATAAAAAAAGGTAGGAGATGTGAATACTGATTTGGGCAAGGTTCTGTTAGGTTCTCATACCCCAGACTTTGAGGTGATGTTGCCAAACTGCCGACAAATTTGGCGAAAAAATTTACCACTGTTGTGGTTTCTCTGAGAGGGTTCGGTGTCGTCCGCGGTGCATTTCGCGAGTGCGTTAGCTACGTTGGCCGTTTCAATTAACGTAATGAACGTAAAACGCGCGTCGCAGAAGTCGGGGCGTGTTCTCTTGCTGTGTGCGCTGCTGTCCAATTGAGAGATCGTGTCTCAGAGTTAGGGAATCAACGACGCGGCGACTAGCTGATCAAGCCGCGTCGACCAGCTGTAGCATATCCGACGTACACCAATTATCCAGCCTTGGCAGATTTATTCTTCGTATGTACACGAGTCCGAACGATATTTCTTGTGCTAACACAGCTAGGGGAAGTGTAGCGTCCCCGTCGTGGCGCGTGGTTGACGCGGCTTGATCAGCTGTGATAAAAAGGGAGGGGGGGGGGGCAGCGCACCACCTGCTGCGACTCTATTCAGTTTCCCCGTAGTCCCTGATACGGAGACGCGATCTCTTAATTGGACAGCTGCACACACAGGAAGAGAACGCGCCCCGACTTCTGCAATGCGCGTTTTACGTTCATTCCGTTAATAAAAGCGGCCAACGTAGCTCTCGCACTCACGAAATCCACCGCGGACGACTCCAAACCTTCACAGAAAAGTCACTGCTAAAGCGGCCGATTTTTATGTCAAATTTGGTGACAGTCTGGCAACAATCACCCCAAAGCCTGAAAAATGGGGTAAACCAAACCTTCACAGAAAAGCCACTGCTACAGCGGCCGATTTCTCTGCCAAATTTGGTGGCAGTCTGGCAACAATCACCCCGAAGCCAGGAAAATGGGGTAAAAGACGCCAAACGGACCCTTAACCTAATTTGATGCAATTGTGTTCGCCAAGCTCTATTGGGCACTGGCACGTCGACAAGCATTCGCAAGTTAGGAACGCATGCGTCGACGACTCGGCAATGTGGCGACCGTTCACCATGTGTACCGTACTAGTGCGACGAGACACAACATGGTGGAATGAGAATCTTGCGTCACCTGAAAATCTTTGAACTGCGGGCGATACAGTTTCTTTCGAATATTCACCTGTCCTCCTTGTAGTTGCCATCCATGTCGTGGCAAAAGATGGTCCTCGGGTCACCGGGTTTGCCGCGCTTGATTGCTGCCGAGAGAGGCTCCACGGCGCACAGCAGGGGCTCCATCTTGTACCCGAGAAGTTCTTCGAGCGTCTTGAGCGGTGCGACCTCGTCTTCTGGGGCCCCTTTGACGACCCGGGCAAGACCGCGCTTGTTCTGTGACATTGAAACGGCCATTTCAAAAACAGGCAACCGATTGAAAGGATGGCCGCGTACCGCGTGCTCTGGTGATGATGATGATGATGAACCTTCAGCTTTGCTGGCACTCACCCACAAAGGGGGATCGGCCAAGAACTGGGTGGCAGGATCATCAAGTGTGCTAAGTCAGGCATTCAGGTAGTCTCGTAGCCGTAAATAATAGCAATAGGCTAACAGGGTAATCTCCTTGTTGCCCTTATGTACTCGCACACAGCAGAGAAAACATCCCTGTGGCTATAACCTGATGTAATCCCTCTGAAGGATAAAATTAATTCCACGTTTATTTTTAAGCCTAGCTTCTCAATTGGTTCGACCAGGTATCTTTTCCTTTGATAAGAATATCGTTGACAAGATAAAAAGAAATGATCTATTGATTCCGATTCCTTGCAAAAGAGACACAACGGAGATGCTGTTAGTCCAGCTTTATGTAGGTAGTAATTTAGATGCGGAATTATGCATCGTAATCTGGTGATTGTAATTTCTAATTGCCGAGATATACACCACTGTTTGTTCCAGCAATATCTTAGATGTACGAAGTCTCTGACTTTATCCAATCATAATTTTTCTATTTCTTTGTGCAAACAAGCATTTCTATATCTGAGTGCTGTTATGTAGGTGAAATCAGGTAAAATAGGTAAGAGCGGTCCGCTTAAAGATGCTTTGGCTAACGAGTCTGCCATCTTGCAGTTCTTCTATCACGCACCCATAAACGATCTCGCGATCATGCCCTTGTGCCCGCGCTTGCTTGTCTTTTTTATTTAACGCGACAGCATTAAAGAGCTCGTTTCGCTGAAGTTCTGGCGTTGTCGGTGTCGTACTGTTGAGCGAAAAATCACTATCCTTTGTGGGACCACTAAATCGAGAAGCATGCAAATAAAATAATAAAATTTCTGAGTATGAGTGCGTACCGAACCTGGGTCGTCAACGTGGCAAGTGAATGTTCTACCATACAATCATGAATACAGTGGAATACAGTGAATACAGTGGAAATAAGTCTCTCTGCTTGGAAATGCAGTGAAATTGAACTTTCATGCTTTACAAACACGCACGTCTTGTATACATCCTTCACAATACAACATGGAATATTGCAGAAATATTGCGTGGTACAGGCGTGCATAGCCATCGGGCGTCAAACCATGGGATTATTATAATGAATTAATCGTTTAAAGCTGGTCACCCACTACAAAAGACGCACACGCTACTGCACTACGTAGTGGCTGCTATAGCAAGTTCGATTGATTTGTGGGGTTTTAGCGTCCCAAAACCACCATATTATGAAAGACGCCGTAGTGGAGGACTCCGAAAATTTTGACCACCTCAGGTTCTTTAACGTGCACCCAAATCTGAGCACACGGGCCTACAACATTTCCGCCTCCATCGGAAGTGCAGCCGGGATTCGATCCCGCGACCTGCGGGCCAGCAGCCGAATACCTTAGCCACTAGACCACCGCGGCGGGTCTAGCATTCCTGGATAGCCGAGTGATTAGGAAGCTCGCGTTCGGATCATGGGGGCACCTATCTGAATACTAACACGCCAGACATTTTTTTTCACCTAGACTTGTATCTATTTTCTATATCTCTCTTCGCTTTTTTTGGTGTCTTTTTGTTTCTCGATACTCGTTCTCTTGCATACCACGTCAGAGAAATCGGTGCACGCGTTCGGGCAGCGAAAAAGAGGGAAAAGAGCGCGTGAGCCAGTTCATGACGACTATAGTTTCTGTTCCCAATACTCAGCACATGAAATATACAACGTTCCAAATTGGTGCTATCGCATTCTTTGAACCACCCTTGTGATGTAAACTGCACTTTTAATAATTACTGAGAGTCGAAGCCTCAGCGTATCTCGGGAGGTAGTGCGTAAGGTCCATCAAGCGGACCAAGAAAAAAAAAGATAGGTCAACAAGAACCAATTGCCTCCAGCCATCTCATCCCAACCTTCTGCTGATATTCCAATAAAGTCTTCTCTTGACCTATGACTGCGCGCATTGACGTACGGTGTCGTGGCTTGCGTCATATGCCATCATGCGCGAGACAAACTTCGTCCAAACAAATAAACCAGAACAATTTAATGCTGTATTGAAACAAAACCAATCCGTGAAAAACAAAATCGGCACACATGCACACGCAGCCAAACTATGGAGGATTAAAAATATTGTTGGAGTGGAAGCTCCCGCAATGCCTTGCCAGCAGAAGTGAAGCCTAATTTTGTCACTGCCAAGATGGCGGAAACATGCTCTTTTCTGGTAGTGCCCACTTAAAGATCAAGTGGCTTTGATATGTTAATGAAAATGCAACGTTAGTTCTATATTAAAAAAAATAATCGTTCCCGACGAAATAACACACAGAAACGAGTATGGGTGACTGAGTCTCCGAAAAACTCTGCCTCCAATTAGAGGCTCACAAAGGAAAACTAGTAACACTAAGACGCACTTGGAGCGCCCTGTCACCCGAAAAAGTTTCCATATCAGACTCGTTGGGCGTGTAAGAGAAACGCTCCGTTCTTAATCTCTGAACGGTAATACTTTATCATGGCCCTAGTAAGATGGCCGTCGTAGCTGCCATCTTTCCATGGCAGTCGCGGCAGGCACGGCTTCGATTCTGGGCAGCCATTTCGTCTCAAGCAATTTTTTTAAAATCCTCCTTGGTCCTGATATAAGCGCCATGGATCCGAGTTTTCAGCAAGGTGCAGCTCCTTCAGAAGTCGCCCAGCCTAACGGGGTAAAGAAGAATTG